GCTGGGATTAAAGGTGTGGGCTACCACCACCCAGTTTTTTTTTTTTTTTTTTTTTTTTTTCAAGGCAGGCGTGGGGACAGGGAGATATTTGCTGTGTAGCTTTGGTGCCTGTCCTGGCTGGATCTCGCTCTGTAAACCAGGCTGGCCTGGGAACTGACAGATCCGCCTGGTGTGCGCCACCACTGCCTGGCCTTGTTTTTGTTTTGAGACAGGGTCTCTCTACATAGCTCTGGCTGTCCTGGAATTCACTATGTAGAGCAGGCTTGCTTCAAACTCAATCTCATAGCCCAGGCTGGCTTGGAACTTACTGATGGCCTTGAACTCCTTACCCTCTTCCTTCCATTTCCAAGCCTTAGAGGGTTATTAATTACAGATGATCCTTGTATCTTCTTGTACTTTAAAATAGTGACCATGTAATTGCAGCCAATGTAAAAATGTTGCTTTTATAGTTTAGTGTTAACATATTTCTCTTTTCTTTCAGCTTGGAATGGAGGAAGAAGATGTGATTGAAGTTTATCAGGAACAAACGGGGGGTCATTCGAGGGTTTAGATAATTCTTTTTATTTTTTTCCTTTTCCCTCAATCCTTTTTTATTTTTGAAAATAGTTCTTTTGTAATGTGGTGTTCAAAATGAAAATTGAATACTGGCACTCCATCTCTTTAGAACATCTGGTAATCTGAATTCTAGTGTTCAATATTCATTATTGGTTGTTTTTGTTGTGCTGATTTTTGGTGATCAGACCTCAGCTCCCTTAATATTGCCCTTCTTATTTTAAAAGAATTCATGTGTGCACAGAGAGGCCACTCTTTTCAGGACTGTGCATTTTCAGGTTTGTGACGATAAAAAGAACGACCAGTGGGAGCTTTTCTGTGACCTCCAATTGGCCCTGAAGTTCTAGCATGCAGTTGCTTCACTCCTGGACTGTGATTTTCAGTGGGAGATGGAAGTCTTTCAGAGAACTGAACTGTGGGAAAATGACCTTTCCTCGGCTTGAAGCTACTTTTAAAATCTGAGGGTCTGGACCAAAAGAAGAATATCACGTTTGTAGTCAAGATAACAGATACAGTGAGAGGAACAACTCACTCCAAAGATGGCTTCACTGGAGAGAAAGCAAGCATCCTAAGAGTCGAACAGGCATCTGAAGAGCCCGGGAAAGCTGTCATTTTCATCAGCAGTTAGTGATAAAGTTCCTCATGCAGAGTGTATGCAACAGACACTGCTCCTTTTGATTCTGTTTGTACTTTGTGGCCTGGGACATGGGTTTTCAAGGGACATCGTCTGTACCAGCTTCATTAAAATAAACAATATTTGTAAAAACCGTACTAAAGCTCCTTTTATTTTAGTTTTGTAGGGAGAAATGCCCCAGATAGGATTTTCTTGCTTGAGTGTATTTCTTTAGTACTGTACAGTAATGACCTTAATGACTTTGAAGCAGTGGGAGTTACTGGGCTGCCTTCTGAATCAAGCGTTTAGTTAGGCCTTTTTAATGTCTTTTTAGATTGTGCTATTCTTAGAGGGTGCGCATGATACCATTACTGTTGTTTTTTCCTCTTTAAATCCCAATGAATCACAGAATTATATATATGTACACATCCAGTTTCATGTTGTTCTAAATACAGTGCCGTCTGGCTACTTTAGCAAATAAACCTATCTCAGGTGCATTTTATAAAGTGTTAACAGCTTATTACCTTTCTCAGGTAACTTGCTTAAAAAGTAGATTGCCTGAAACTTATATTTGACCCTAACTTTAAAATTATTTGTATTGTACAAATTGGAGCTTTTAGACTGTTCCCTGGCGGTTCCTTAAATTGTTACGTTCCTTAAATAGTAACTGGAAATTAGGTTCAGTTGTAGAAAATCTTTGAGTTGCAGCATTTGTCAAGATCAAATAACATATTTGATTGGTTATTTGAACTGTTCAAAATTCATGAATATGTAATTCATCTTAATTTTTGAATCTCTAAATGAAGATTCAACTTTTAGTGGTGGAGCGTAATTATAGAAGTAGTTTTTGTTTTAGGGGTTTGGGGGAAGGTCTTCTAAAGTAACTGCACTCCACTGTTGGCCTAAAAGATGCTCAACTGCTATAGTAGTGTTGTTCACACAGACACTTGGAAGTAAAAGTTCAATAGATGTTTGGAAAGACCCCAAGCAGTATTTAGTAGCCACTCTGTCTGGAGTGCAGCAGCCTACATTTGCAAAAGGGAGAAAAAAATGAGCAGTAATGGTTTCCTTGCATCTTTATTCATGAGTGTATGTTGATTAGTTAAGTACTGTTGAATTTGCAAGTAGGGTTGACCAGCATCGGAAAAACAGTGACATTTAAATTTACTATGATCGTAACCATAGTGTTTGGCCATTTTATTTCTGTTTTACATGAAACAAGGAGTTACTCAATTCCTGCAGTATAGAATAGAAAAATTAGCTAAATTTCTAGACTGGAGAAATGTAATCCCTGTACAAAGCAAAATCCTTGTGAGTGTTAGTGGGGAGTCACCTCTAAATACTGTTCTTTACTTGTGGACAGTGTGATGATTAAAACGTCATTGTCAATTTGCCTGGGTTTAAAGTCACTCTGGAAAGACCTTTGGGTGTGTGTCCAGAAAGTTTTGAAGTGGGAATTCCTACCCTAGGTGGGGGTACTGCCATTCTGTGGGTCCAGGACTGAATAAAAAGGATAAAATGAGATAAGTGCCAGCATTCAGCATTACACACAGGGTTTCTATGTGTAACAAGCTGGTCTGAAACTCACAGAGATCCACCTGCCTCTGCCTCACCAGTGCTGGGATTAAAGATATGTGCCAACCCCTCTCAGTGAGATGATGGGGGTTGTATAGCCCTGGCTGGCATGGAACTAGCTCTGTAGACCAGGCTGGCCTTGAACTCAGGGATCCACTTGCCTCTGTGGCTCTCCTGTGCTAGTGCTGGGATTAAAGACAGCTGCCACCACTGCTTGTGATGTTTTGTTAAAAGGCACATTTATTTATAGACATTAAAGGAGTCATTGAATGACTTAAGACTTCTGATACCAATCTTAGAGTTTTATGAGTAGTTTCAAGGCAGAGTTGGGAATAAAACCTCAAGATTTGTTCGTTCTCAAGAGTCAAAAATAGTGAAATTCTGAGGTGATAGTTCTATTTCTTTGCTGATACAGCCTCCAGGAACTACCTGTGGCCATTGAGCATTTGACTGTGGCTAGTATGGGGGACGAATGTTCTAGCTTTAACAGCTACATGCTCACTCAAACATGCTGCTCTAGATCTGTCCTTTGAGGATTGGGAGAATTTCCTCCTGAAAGAGCTTATTTTGCTCAAGTAAACCTGTATTAAGTGATTCCAAACATGCCTTCTAAGATGTTTGTTTTAGATTCCAAGGATGAAATTGTGGTTTGGTCTTCTAGAAGGACTTCTTAATATATGATTAGCTCTTCTTAGCTAATCCAGAGTTACTGCATGACAGAATTTCCATTCACCATCAACTCTTGAACACATTGAAGTACATAGGGCATCCTATGTTGGAGACTAGTGTTAGTGTCTCCAACTGGAACTGTGGATTGTAGTTTAGGCATCAAGGCTCTTGAACTTAAGGTGGTCCTAAAAAAACACAACAGGATTTAAGTAAGTGAAAAGTTAACTGGGTGTGTGGAGTGTGCGGGAATGCTGGGAATAGGTTCCAGGGTAAAGGAAGTGGGAGGTATGGGTTGAGGTAAGTCAGGTAAAGTGGAGCTAAGTGAGCTCAGGCTGGAGCTTTGTTATAGAAGTATACTTCTGTCACCATTTCTTAACTTACTGTCTTGCTTTCTTCTAGCCTTACGGCTTGGGGATTCGTAGGAACCGGAAGTATGAGTAGACCCACGGTCTGGAGATGCTCTGTGTCCACTGCAGACCACTGGCTTCCTTTAAGAGTTCTTGTTGAAAATGAAGGTGTTTCTCCAAAGCAGCTTTTTGCCTAAGGAGACAACCCCACCCCCAATCCCAAAAATGATTAAGCATTCAGTAGAGTTTTGGATTTGGGTTGTATGATGACCAGATTTGGGCTATTGGTTGCAGGTTTTAGTGGAGATCATACTCTTCATTTAGTGCCTTTACAAGAGAGGCATCATGGGATTCCTACCAGAAAAGTAAGAAGGAAGGAGGTAAATCCCAGGTCTTAAACTTGGGTTGCTGGAAGGGATTGCTTTCCTTGTTGCTTGCTTTATTTGGTTGTTTTTGTTTTGTTTTGTTTTAGATAGGGTTTCCCTGTGTAGCCCTGGCTGTCCTGGAACTTGAAATTTAGACTGGGTTGGCCTGGAAACTCACAGATCTGCTTGCCTCTGCTTCCTGAATGCTGGAATTAAAGTGGATTCCCTTGCTCTAGAGTTGAGGGAACAGGACAGTGAAAGTACAAGAGTAGCTGTCACAGATGAGGTAAAGCCAGTCGGCACTGAGTTCTAGTCCTTGGAGGAGGGAGATTACCCATTACTTCTTTGGTTTCCTGTCTCAGCTACTTGTGTTGGTTTTACATAATCGCTCTAGTACCTCGATGATGACCGTCAGTTCCTCTTGGAAAGTTGGGCTTCTAATAGTGTGCTTTTGTCTCTTTACTATTACTACGGCACATGATGTCTGGACTGTTGAGGCTGAATTAGGACTTTCCTAATAACCTACTTTGTGATTCCCCTAACAGCTGAGCAGAGTCCAGGGAGGGAACAACTCGAGGTTAATGAAGTCTTGAGAGTTCTGGTGCCTTCTCTTTCTGGACCTCTTAAAGAGGATTATAGGCTCAATTTAATTTGTGGAACATTATAACTCCGGGGGGGGGGGGGAGTGTTTAGGTTTAATGTCGGGAACCTGACTTTCCAGGTTGTACCCCTGCCATCAGTTTTAAGACAATCTGACTGCAGCTCTCCAAGTAGCCTTCCAAGATCCCCCCTTCTGCTGTTGCCTCCCAGTGCTGGATTCTAGGCCTGGGCCACCACACCCAGCTCACCTTTCAGCTTTTATGGTTGTGAAGGATCAAAAATGCTCTTGGCCCTAGGTAACCTACTTTGTAGTTCCTTGCGGTCTTGGTCCTACCTCCCTGACTTCACCCAAAGCACGATTTTTCACCCTCATCCAGCAATGCTGAGCTTTTATTTATTCAACATGTCAGTCTCATTTCTTCCCTCACACACTGTTCACTGTTGTTTCCTGAAATACAGGTTCACATTCTCATGTTTAAAATCTCACCCTTTATGACATCCCTTATGAGAGGTCCTGCTGGGTCACCAATCTAAACTACGCTTCCTGTTACATCTTTAAAGTTGTTCTGCATAGCATTTGTAGCTAGGTTAAAAAACAAAAACATGGCCAGTCATGGTGGTGCATGTGTTTAGTCTCAGCATTCGGGAAGTAGAGGTAGGTAGATCTCTGAGTTGGAGGCCAGCCTAGTCTACAGAGTGAGTTCCAGGACAGCCAGGCCTGTTAAACAGAGAAACCTAAAAAAAAAGTCTCAAAAAACCAAACCAAGGGGCTGGAGAGATGGCTTAGCGTTTAAGAGCATTGATTGCTCTTCCAGAGGTCCTGAATTCAATTCCCAGCAACCACATGGTGGCTTACAACCATCTGTAATGGGATCAGATTCCTTATTCTGGTATATATATAAAATATATGAATAAATAAATCTTTAAAAAAATAACCAAAAACATTGTCTTTTTCAATATCTCTCTATACTTCTGAATTCCTAGAGTCTACAATTTGCATAATGTATCTTGGTATTGGCCATAACTCACAATTGGTCCCGATGGAGATCTTGCTCCTCTTTTACTGAGGAGTTGAACTCAGGGCATAATTTGAACATTCTACCAAACTGCTGCACCCTAGCCCTGGGATTCACCCCCCCCCCGCCCCCGGTTTTTCGAGGCAGGGTTTCTCTGTGTAGTTTTGGAGCCTTTCCTGGATCTCACTCTGTAGCCCAGGCTGGCCTCGAACTCACAGAGATCCGCCTGGCTCTGCCTCCTGAGTGCTGGGATTAAAAGCGTGCGCCACCCCCACCCCCGGCTCACTTTTTTTTTTTTTTTTTTTTAAATGGGATTCACTTATCTGTAAACCAGAAGATCAAGATAAACGATCTCTTAAATTCCCATCTAGCTTCAATACAAGTTCTGTGATAAGCCACGACAGAATCCTGCGATGTCGGAGCAGAATTTAGCCCTGCTGTAGGTAGGGCTGAGAGAACTGCTTGTTGAAGGCGGTGCAAGGTGAGCGCTGGCACCAGGCGGGCACGCCTCTGAACACCCCGGACCCCAGCTGGTGCCCAGCTCTCCAGTAAGTACCTGGCTTGCTCCTGGGCAAGCTTCACGGCTTCCTCCAGCGCCAGCCTCGCTGCCGCCTCTTCCTCTTGCCTCCGCGCCTCGGCCTCCCGCCTAGCCTTCTCTTCCGCTTCTTCCTTCTGCCTCTGGTACTCCAGCCGCTCTTCCTCGGCCATTGCCATCAGGCGTTTCTGTTCTTCTGCGAACTGCATTTCCAGTTCCTTCTGCCGTTGCTTCTCGGCCTCTGCAGAACAGAAGGAGGCGGGCTCAGCAGGGAACACCACCCGAGCAGTTTATATTGCCGCTCTACCCTTTTAATCTTTGAGAGCCTCTGGGGGGTTCCTAACCCAAGTCCTCTGGCCGAGCGCCTGTGGGTGGGGATTCAGAAGCCTTAGGGAAGACTTTCCCCATGGTTGAGTTCGTGGGGTAGCGTGCTGCTGGGGGAGCGGAGGGGGAGCGGCAGACCAGGGTCAGGAGAAACGTCCTACTTGGCTAGACTGACTAGTCTAAAGAGTACGGACCGGGAAAGGACCACAGCATCGTCTGCGGAGCTTTCCACCTCGTCCGGAAAGGTCTGCGGGGAGATTATCTGCTCCACACCGGGAGGAAGGTGTGGCCTGAGGCTCTCCAGACCTCTGCGACTGTCTCTGCCTGCCAGGGGGCAGCCCTTGAGCCATGCTGACCGGGGCAGTTACCGAACCAGAAGTCCGACCCTGCAATCACTCCACAAGAGTCTTCCGTTCATATCCCATCCTTTTACCAACCCTCTAGAGTCAGACATAATTACCATCTGGGGCAAAAACAACTAGCTTACACATGTGGAGGGCTCTGTGCACCCGGGCCTAGGACAGGAATAAAAGAGTGGCCGCGGCGGGTTGAAAATGTTTTTGGTCCAGGAGACCGGAGATACAGAAAGCTCGGGGATTCTCTCACCAGCCCTCTCCAACTCCTCCTGCTGCTTTTTCCTCTGCAGTTCTTGCATTTTCCTCCGGAGCTCCTCCTGCTGCTGCCGGGCTCTCTCCTGGGCCGCCTGCAGCTGGAGCCTCCGCTTCCTCTCCGCTTCCTCCTGCCGCTGCCGCTCTTCCTCCAGTCTCTGCTTTCTCAGGCTGGGGGCACAGAAGGTGTCAGAGGAAGGGCAGAAAACACAGCCCCAGCCAACTGCCTACAGGCTCTGTAAACTTCAGGAAGCGCCCCTCCAGGGAGCAGGTTTTTCTACAGCAGGGATCGAAGGGCAGAGGTAACAGACTGACAGGGGTCTAGAGGAAGAAACCTAGAAGTTTCAGCATATAGCTCAGTGCTGTTGCCCAGGATTTAAGTGCACTAAGTTCTCTGCACTTTTTCTTTCTTTCTTTCTTTCTTTCTTTCTTTCTTTCTTTCTTTCTTTCTTTCTTTCTTTCTTTCTTTCTTTCTTTCTTTCTTTCTTTCTTTCTTTCTT